TCTGGCTCCTCCTCTGATGGTGGAAGAAGGGCAGTTGGTCCTAGGTTTATGTTCAGAGGTTCACAAGTTGTACAGTTGGCTTGCCACATTTAGTTTTGACTTTGAGAAAGTGGAGGGATCACTGTAGTTCAATAGTGTCTGGAGAGGTGCTAAAGTTGTAACCATGGTGTTCTCTGCACAGGCTATAATACTCTGGGAGCAGCCCAGAATATTCTGACCCCAAAGCTGCCTTCCCATTACCTGGGCACTCTGGAGCAATGCCAGGCAGCTGCTTACAATGCATCCCACAGTGCCACGGGCCATCGCTGCCACGGGTCACATTGTCTGAGGCTGAAAACAAGGCATCCAGTGTTGATCACATGGCTGGGCTCCTTGTTCTGACTACAGAGGGAGAGACTTGTGCCAGCAGTGGCTGGTGGCACAGTGGAATGCATTGTAAACAGTGACCTGGAATTGTTCCAGAGGACACAATATTTTCTTGGAAGAACCAGAACAAAAGGTGAGTTTTTAAGATCTGCATTGAGCATGGTATAAGGTGGATACCATTGCACCAGAATCAGGGATTGAACCCTGTGTTGTCCGGGAAAATTGCCGTGAAGACTGGGGAAGGAGGTGTTATTTGGCCTGTGTGGGCATGGCCCTTGTCTTATAGTATAAAACTGCTTCTCCTCACTCCCTTAAATCTGCTCCAGTACATGGTTTGGAAATCGCTGATCAACTAGATTATGATCTTGTATTAGACATATGGGATTATAGTGCGGAGCTATGTGTGAAATAACAGTTTGTTCTGTCAGGGACATAGGGGCTGCAGAGGATGTACAGTGCTGACATACACATCAAAATGACATTTATGAGATAGTGAAGGAAGAATTGTGAAGATGGATATGACTGGCAAGGCTCAAGTGGCAAGGCCTGCCAGGAATATATTAGGGGATGAAGTTAATTATTCAAGAGAGAATAACAGACACCATTTGTATGCAAATATTACAGAAGACAAAGCACTGGCACCAAATTCATGTAGCACCTCAAGCTATCCTGTGTATTTTGAGGCTATTCAGAAGAACTAATGAACAACAAGTAGTTGACTTTTTAGTATGGATGCACTTTAGGCATTAAATCATTAACAATGCAAGAGTGAATAATATATAATGGAAATTAACTGTGCCTTCCATATCCACTCTCTAATGAGAAAATAATTAAGCATAAGATGTAAATTTAAGGTCTCTTAAAAAATTCAGTTCATGATTTTTGTTGACAATGAAATGTAGGGGGAGTTCTAATGGTGTTTTCTTTATTACATGTTTCTTTATTGCACCATATTTTGACTAGGTGCTTTAAATATTTCAGGCCTTGTTCTTGCTGTCTCTTGCCGTGAATTAATTGTTTCCTAATGTACAGTATAGTTTCGTTTTCATTTTTGTGAAGGCTATATGGTTGTTCCTGGTGAAAGTCATTAGTGTGAGACACTGTTTGTCTAAAGTCAAGATGTCACAGAAAGAATGGGTTTCTGGGGCGGGGGGAATGCAATTATATTATGTGGTATAGTGGTTTTTAGCATTAGACTAGGACTCTTGAGACCAGGGTTTGAATCCCTGCTTGAGCATGGAAAACCACTGAGTGATCATGGGAAAATTAGATTCTCTCAGCCTCAGAGGAAGGCAAAAGCAAACCACTCTGGACAAATCTTGCTAAGAAAACACTGTGGTAAATTTGCCTTAGGGATGATGGTGATGATGATTGAAGATGATGATGATGATGATGATTTCTTACCAGCTTCTCCCCATGGATTGAGGCGGGGAATGATAAAAATTAATGAGTGCAAAACATCAGTTAAAACACATCAGTTAAAAACCCATCAGTTTAAAAGGACAATTAAGACATACACATATTAAACAATCCATATTTAATATTCATCATTTAAAATTCATCTGGATAAGCCTGCCAGAAGAGACTAGTCTTTAATGCTGTTTATAAATTCAGACAGTGTATTCAGCTGTCAAATCTCTTCCTTCAGGTCATTCCACAGTTTAGAGGTGGCTGATGAAAAAGTCCTGTGGCTGAAAGTTGCCAAATAGTCTTGACTGATTGGAGTAAATGTCCACCAGAGGACCTGAGTCATTTCTTGAGACAAGTGAAGACACAACAAAAAGAACAATATTTCACAAGTTATCATATCACAATGTGTAAAGTATTAATGATGAAAATGATACTGAACTTGGGAAGAAAACAAATATTGTTCCACTTTAAATTCCACTGTAATAGCCATGGTTCTATCCTATTGAATACTGGGTTTTGTAGTTTGGTGAGGCACTGGAATTCTCTGGCTGAGAACTCTAAATGCCCCTTCCTCCTTAAATTACCAATTCTGGTGTATAGTGTGGTGTAGTGGTTTGAGCATTGGACTACAACTCTACAGATCAGGGTTTGATTTCTCACTGGACCATAGAAACTCAGTGGGTGATCTTGGGCGAGTCACACACCCTCAGTCCCCCAAAATCCCATGATAGATCTGCCTTAGGGACACTGTATGTTGGAAACAAGATGAAGGAACACAACTACAATAACACAACCATTAAACATAGAGAAGCAATCTCCAGTTCTCACTCTGGCAACCCTAATATAAATCCTGGTCTGTGCCTTTTTTTACCACAGTAGGGGGAGGAAGGGGAAATGGCAGTTTTGGTCGCACTAATGGCCCTCACCAAGTACTAAGAAAGGCTGGGAAAGTCCTAATGCGTGAAGCCTGCTAGGCTATCACTGCCATATTCCTCATTTCTCCTTCTTCCACCTTCTGAGGCACTGAATGTAGGAGTGGGTCAGGGTTTTTTTTTTATACCCTAATTTGACTTGCAGCCCAGGGCTTTGTCCTCCACTAGTCTAGCTGGGTGTCTGGGAGAAGTGCATAAATCTTAATAATGTACAGTTATCCAAAAAAGGGATGCCAGGTGTATATGTGTGTGATAAAAGTCATCCACTGAAACTGCTCAAGACACTGGGGACCTCTAACACCACATAGGACGTTATCACACTGGCCCTAAAGCAGAAAGAATTCAGC